AAGTCCAGGCCTCTGCCCTGCTAAGCGGGTGTAAAACCTCCAACTGCAGTCTTTCCTGGGCGCATACTGCTTGTTCCTCGACAACACACACATCCTGAGTGTCGCGCAGTCCTGGGAGTTTAAGCAAGGCCACGGTGAGGGAGGGGGTGATTCTGGCTCTGGGTCATCAGTCACATGACTGATCCAAGGATCTGGTTTACCCTGTCCACGTGGCCCTCTTGGCTCCGGGGTCCTCTGCTGCTTTCCTGTCATCCTGGGGCCCTGGGAATCTTTCTGAGGTCGTCCTAGTGGCTGGCTGCACCACCTTCCACAGGCTTCCAGACTCCAGACAGTATTCCCAGAGTCAGCTCCCTTCTTAAATGGGAAGAATGGAAAAAGGAAAATACAGGAAGAACCAACAGTGTGCATTAACACCCTCTGGCATAATCCAGGCTCTTTTACTCCAGCTCTGTGTTTCTACATGGGAGGTTACAGGCATGTACTTTTTCAAAAGAAATAATAAATTGATAAAATCTAATATTCTCTAACATGTATTGAGTACAAGCTGAACCTGGAATTGTCTGATTTAATCAGCATGATAGCCTTTTGAACTAAGTACTATCATTATTTCCATTTTACAGATCAGAAAATTGAGGCTCAGTGAGATAAAGAACTTGCCCAAGGTCCCACAGGAAGCAGTGGGAGAGCTGGGATTTGAATCCCAGCGTTCCTGACACTAGAGTCTAAGTCCTTATTTATAAGCAGTGCTCAACTGCATCATAGATGCTCAAAAAAAAAGCCAGACCTGTAAGCCTGGTGTGGCACTTAAAAATTCTATTTTTATGGAGTTTGTTCCATAGTCTGGCCCTTCTGTCAGTTGGACTATAAAAAAGCACCCAGCAGTCACTCCAGCTGCTCAGGGCCCATGTTACAAGCTCAATAAGTACTTGTTGACTGATCGTGCATCTCACAAGCAATTTTGAATTTTCAAATCCTTTTGTGTCTGGTTCAAATGTGGCAGAAAAAGTGAGAGGTTGTTGGCAGCATTGTCTTCTCTAAAAAAATTACAAAAACTCTTCTAGTTCTGCTTTTTAAAAAAGAAAAATTTGCCTACTGACTCCATCAACTCTTCCTTGGCTTTGGCTTCCCAGCTCCCAGCCGACTCAGGATGGCATGCCCTGCAAGGTTTTGGCAAGACAGACCTGGCTTTTAAATCGTGGCTTGGACACTTGCTGTTTGTGTGACCCTGGCTGGTCCCATACCTCTCTGACCCTGTGTAAAATGTCCATAAAACAAGAGCATTAATAAAACCTTCCTCAGGGATAGTGTGAGTGTACATAGTAGGCACTCAATGTCTAGTTCCCTTCTCTGTTAGTTAAAACAACCTCATCAGAGTCTTCTATCAATTAGAATTTTAAACTTAAGGTCCTTCTGAAAACTCTTTAAGTAAAGGAAGCCATCCCTTTGGATGGGTCTAGGAATTCATGTTTACCAATACAGCTTAAAGATGATGTAATAGTAGGATGTTTTCAGTTGCAAGGAAGAGAAAATGCTTACTCCAACTGGCATAAATAATAAGAAAATACATTATCCAAAGGTGCGAGGGTTGATTCAGTGGCTCACTGGTAAGGACCCAGGTTCTCCAGCTTTTTCTCAACCTTCTCTTGAGTGGGCTATATCTGCTCAGGGTCACAGGTTAACTGGAGCAGCAGGTACAGGCATGATATCCTGACATGGCCATATCTAGAGGTAGAACAGGGGCCTTTTAGTCTAGTGTCCTTTTGTTAGGAGCCAAGAAACCTCTCCCAGAAACCTCCCATCAGATACATCCTCACATTTTAATGGGCAGAACTGGGTCATGTGCTGTAGTCTAATAGGACCACTAAGATGGAATTAAACCAATTAGGATTTATCTCTGAGCTGGGGATGAGGTGACCATTTCCTAAGTCATGTGGGGCAAGATGGCTCCTTGAAAGAAATCCAGGTTCTATCAGCAAAGAGAAATGGAGAGGATTGTTTTGATCACCTCCTCTTCACCCTGTTAATGTGGGAGGGATTTCCACCCTAGGGTTACAGGGATGGCCGAACACACGACACTTGAAAGTTGAGATTGACAGTAGTTTATTCGTCACCAGCACTCACAGCCTGGGGGAGGAAGACACCACATGCCACACAGGGCCACGTGGGAGTTGCACTCGGGAGCAGAGTATTTGTAGTATAAAGAGGGTGAGGCGTTCCTGCAGGAGGATGTGATTGGCTTGTTGGAATAATTCCATGGGCTGGCAAGAACTAAATCCCACTTCTCAGGGATAAGCAGGAACTATGCTGGTCCCTGCAACAAGAAGAGTTGTCTGGCTAGGAGACCTTATCCGTGGGAGCAGAATGGGGAGGGGAACTTGTGGTTAGGCCATTTGAGGCCTTCCTGATTTTACCAGATGTCAAGGCAGCACATAATATTGAACTTTAATTTGAGGCCTTACCCCACAGGGATGAATGTGGGATACATACTTATAGCAGATGACTGTCCATCCATCATCTGAGCAACCTCCCGTCCTGCCTTCCACCATCCATCCATCCATCCATCCATCCATCCCATCCGTCAATCCATCGATCTATCCTCTATACCTTCCACAAAGGAGTGAGGCAGCCTAGACATTCTCACCACATGTCTGGTGGTTTTTAATGTTGTCCAGCTCATAGCTGTTTGTGAGTGGTCAGCATTTGGATCAGCCCTTCTAGTCCTTCTCCAACTCTTCACCCTTCTCGACTCTGCGCTAGCCAGTAGGGTCAACTCAGTGACCCTGGAATACGCTTTTTTCTGTTCTGCTTCTGCTTTTGCTAGAACCGTCCTCCCCTCTTCTCTGCTCGTCTAAATTCCACCCTTGCTTGAGCCAAGTCCCTCACCATCCAAACACTGTCCAAACTTTCCCTGAATTCTGGTTCTTCTCGTCAGCCCAGAACTCCTGTGGTAACTGCTGCATGCAAATGCATGACCGTACGCTCCTGTGTATCACTGCCTCCCGGGGGACTGTTCTTTCACCTTTTATGGTTAGTTCCCATCTCATTTGTATCTTTTCTTACCAACCTCATCATTAATTCTCTGAGGGTCAGGGTCCTGTCCCGACACCCCTGCGTCCCCCTCATTGCACAGGGTGGAGGACAGCACAGCACATTGTCACCTGCAAGCTCCCGAGGCTCCAAAGACAATTCTGGATTTAATTTAAATCATCTAATTTCTTTAAAAAATATTTATGATGTAAATACAAAAAGCAGTGCGACTAGAATCTCTAAAAGAACATTTATCTAGCATCTAGCACATAGAAGGAACTCAATAAAAAAGTGTTGAAATGTTCAATAAAACACTTAAAGGGCCTTAAAATTCTGATTATTTTACATACACCCTTATGATTGTTGCGTTATCTATGCACTATCTGTGTTATTATTAATATGGTTCCTTACACTGATTAGTTTTTAAACTGATTTCTAGATCTAAGCAATAGTGTCTGTGACATCAGGGGTTTGATGAGCTAGTTATTTTTAGATATCCTAGAAAAATTACACAATTATACCAAATTGTTGTGTACCTAGTACCTCAAGTTATTTCGCGTGTCACACTTGGGAAACTCTAACCTGGCCATGTCCATATCTACATCTTTTATGATTAAAAAAGCCAGTCATAACAGAAAAGACTGCTATTATGTATCTACCATTGTATATTTCTACTTATTTGAGCATTTTACTAAAGGCAAAAACTCTAGACACAGAAAGCAGATCTGGGGGCTGGCCCCGTGGCCAAGTGGTTAAGTTCGCGCGCTCCGCTGCAGGCGGCACAGTGTTTCGTTGGTTCGAATCCTGGGCGCGAACATGGCACTGCTCATCAAACCACGCTGAGGCAGCATCCCACATGCCACAACTAGAAGAACCCCCAACGAAGAATATACAACTATGTACCGGGGAGCTTTGGGGAGAAAAAGGAAAAAATAAAATTTAAAAAAAAAAAAAGAAAAGAAAGGAGATCTGTGGTTCCTGGGGCCAGGGATGGAAGTGAGACTGACCTTGAATGGGCACCAGGAGCGATGGAAACGTTCTAAAACTGGATGGTGGTGGTGACCACACAACTGTACGAGTTTGGAAAAGGAATCCTCAAACTGTATATTTACAATGGATACATTTTATGGTTTGTAACATACCTCAAAGAAAAAGGAAGAGGAGGAAGAGGAGAAAAGAAAAGAGAGGACTAGAAAAGAAATGATCAGCCTAGAGAGGGAATGAGGGGGCCTCCGCAGTCCTGGTGATGTTCTGTTTCTCGACCTGGGTGTTGGTGAAAATTCACCAAGCCGTTCATTTATGTTTTGTGCCCATTTCTATATGAATGTTATACCCCAGTAACAAAATCTACTAAAAAAAAATTCAGCCAAGATGGGGGCACCATTTCTTCCCAAGTAATAAAAAGTTATTACTTTCCTGCTGATTATTTTGAATAATTACATCACTCTGCCAACTTAGTTTTACAATATTAGGAGTTTAGATTTTGTCTTGATAAAGAAAGGGTTATAAAAAGATGTGTTTAGCTAATCACACAATTGCTAGAAGAATGTCAGCGGAAGCCATTGTTCCTTAATTATTGATAACAATTATGAGAGTGGACAATATTCAACTTGCAACCAAAATAAATGGACGTGTTGAGAGGTCTTGGTGGAACAATCTAATCATCAGTCTTGAAAAGTCCCCCTCTCTCAGCCAGTTGTCCTGCTGCCTGCCAGAGTTTCAGTTCTATATTTATCTTTTCAGATCAGCAGTATAGCAATTAGTTATTATAATAAGAGCTACCAATTTGTTGTGTCCCGACTTCATGCCAGGCACTGTATTATCAGAGTTTTTCATACTTTAATTGCCTCATTTCATTGTCACAACAACCCTGCCAAGGAGTTGATTTGTTCCATTTTACAGCTAAGGAAACTGAGGCTGGGGGTTCCTGAGTGGGTCCAAGCCCGCTTTGCTGGTGAGTGACCGAGCCAGAGAGCAAGCCGGAGTCCCATGCAGTGTGCTTTGCTATGTCTGGGGACCTGATGTAAGTGACAGGAAATAAGTGACATGTCTAACAGGATTTTGAATCCCGAAACACGGCTCTTCATGCGGTTGCTATAGTTACTTCTCTATGTGATGCTCTCATTTTTGCTGGGGTAACAATGGATCCACTGTTAGCCATTGAGGTGTTGAACCCCCACCACCATCCTGAAACCTGAGGGACATTTTAATAGGTTTAAAATAGCATTCTTGCCTTTTAATCATTTCAGAAGCTCCTAGAACATGAACAGATCCTGTACTATGGCAGCTTTACAAATATTGCTATTTGCTCCTTGTGTAAGACATAGGAACTCTCTAAAGGTAATATAAGCATATTTCAGACAGAATCCTGCAGAACTCCTTGACAAAAGCAATGCATTTGGGGGAGTAGGGGGTGTATGGGTGCTCCCTCATTGGGTTGAGGGAGGGGGTGGGCATCAATGCAGGAGGATGTGTGGAAAGTGAGGCCTGGGATGTGTTAGGAAGGACAGGCCATAGGACCTGGAAAGCCTGGGAGAGACAGGACAGAAGAGGCAGGAGGTGTGTTTTGTAAGTGAATAAGCTCTTGCTCAATAAGCAAACACATGCAGGGGAAGTGGTTTGGATTAGGAATGAAGCGGGTGACAACCAAGGCCTGAAATGTCTTATTGATGAGTGTTTCAAGCCCTGAGCCGTCAGGGAGGATGAGAACTCAGAATCTGGAGCTGTCTTGCCTCCCGCACACCAGCTGGCTGTAATGCTATGGTCAGGCAGCTTTATTCCCATTTGACATACAAGACCTCTCAAGGCCCGTGAAGTTCTCAGATGTGGCCCCCGGAGACACTCTGGGACTAAAGACAGGAGCCAGAGCTTCTGATTCCTGGTCTAATGTCAGATCCATTCTCTCTAATTATAGAGTCATAATGGCGAAGAGGATGGTGACATCCAAGGACAACCACAGGGCCTCACTCTGAAGACTGGTGAGAATCAGACTCCTCCTCCTGGTTCTGCAGCTCCCAGCAGAGTTCTGGAAGCTGATTAAAGAGAAGATCAGAAATAATAGGTAATTAGAAGCCTTATAAAAAGAAAAAATTCTCTCATCATACTTACCGAAGCGTCTCCATGGCTGGAAGTGGGGGAGGCAATGGAAACTGCTTGCTGCAAGGGTCACTTGTGCCAGAGAGTAGCCTAGAGGCTGGGGCAAGTGTGCAGAGGGAGTGGGGCTGGTCCCCAGGGGTGGAGGGAGGAGGCTGTTGAGAAATGTGTTTCCCAGTCAGGACAGCCAGTGAGTCAAAGGTTAGGGAACACTTTTGCCAGCCCCAAAAGAGCCTCAGCTGGTGAAACCAGTGACACAAGGACCAAAGGGGACTGAGGGGGAGGGAGGGAGAGACACATACACAGAAGAGACAGAACCCACTACCAAGAGAGGCAGAGTGGAGTGAGTTTCTCCACTGGCCAGTTCCTTGGCTGTTCCAAGTACGCCAGGAGGGGTAGTTGGAAGGAGCTCAGCAAAGTCTTGGGTCCAGATCATCCATGCAATTAGCTGCTTTAGGGCTCCTTACCTCCTGGGGTCCATAGGGACTGTCCCCAGCTTGGAAGTGGTCGTAGGAGGTAATTGGAAGGCTACAAGTGGACTGAATGTAAGTTCAGCTTCCAGATGACCTGCTTGGACTTCAACAGCTCTCTGAGCAGTGGAGCAGTACCCCCTAGTCTTTGAGGGCACATCCCTACCCAGGGGATCCTCACAGCCCTTTCCAATCTGGCCGAGGCGTACACTCCACCCTGCTCCCTTCAGGGCCTCCTATTTGGATGCTCAAAAGGCTGTTTTGGAAAACCTGCTAAAGGGACACAGACTGTTCCTTTTTGTACTCCTGCTCCAGCAATCCTAAGGCTCCTTAAGGCTGTGCTGGGGCTGGAGGCTCTAAGCGAAGGAGGCAAGGAGTGGGGTGGAGGTGGGGTGGGAAGAGGAGCTCCCCACTGCGGGCAATTATCCGTGAGATTCACCTGTTTTTTGGGCCAAGTTTCATTTGCTGGTTCCCTTTTCCATCTTGTTTACCTTTTTCTCTTCGGTGCTCTTTCATTGCTCCACTCAGTAAACCTTACTGACCATTTCCTGTGGCTGTGGTTGTCCCAGATGAAAAGAGACACTGAATGAAGACTGGGACACAGTCTTCACCGTCATAGAGGTCACATTCTAGTTGGTAACGGGCAATTTCAAAACAGAGAGAAGTTTATGCTCAATGGGGGCAAGCAGGGGGGTGGTTTGGGAGCCCAGGGATGGGGAGCTGAGCAGACCTAAAAGGTTGCTGGCAAAGACCAGGGAGAGCTCCCAAAAGAGGGGGGAACTGGTGCTGGTTCCCGCTAGGGTTGCCAGATAAAATACAGGACGCTTGTATTTAATGCAATATTTGCAACATACTTATACTAAAAAAATTATTCGTTATTTATCTGAAATTCAAATTTAACTGAGTGTCTTGTATTTTCATTTGCTGAATCTGGCAACCCTAGTTCCTGATGAACATACAGGAATTAGCTGAGTCAATAGGGGGACAGGAGGAAGGGCATCCCTGCAGAGAGAACAGCATTGTGCAAAGACCTGGAGGTGAGGGATCCTATGCTTCATTTAAGGAACTGAACATTGTCCAGTGGCTGGAGTATGGCGTGTAAGGGTGAAAGGAGGGAGTGGAGAGCATGCAGCAAACTGTCCCATAGTTGTTGAGTATGTGCTAGGTGCCAGGCATGTTGTGCGGTTCTAGGGGCTGTTGTGAGTCAGACAGACACAGCTTCTGCTCTCTGGTATCTCACAGTTGAGCTGAGAAGCAGAGAGGTGGGGAGAGGGAAAGACAGCCACTGTGGAAGTTATAGCTGGGGGCCTCCAGCCTGACTGGGAGGTCAGGAAAGGCCTCTGTGAGGAGGTGACAATATGCTGAAGGATGAAGAGACAGGCATGCCAAGGGGGAAGAGTGTTCTAGGCTAAGGGAACAGCATAACGGAGGCCCTGAAGTGAAAAAATGAACAGCGGGTCCCAGATACTGAAATGTGGCCAGAGGGGCTGGGGCCCCAAGAGAGAGAAGAGGGACAGAGGAGGAAGCTGGACAAGTGGGCAGGGGCCAGATGGCACCAGAGGGAATTTGGGCTGGATCCTGAAGGCCATGGGAGCCATTGAAGGAGTTTAAAGCAGGCAGGGTGACACAACCAGCTTTGAGTTCTTAAAGGTGACTCACGCTGGAGAGAGAAGGACAGATGGGTAGCGTGGGGACAGAGAGAATGAGGGAGACCCGGGAGAGGGCTACTGCAGATGTCCAGGATGGACAAGTTAGTGGCTTGGCCCAACCCGAAGGAGGTGGAGATGAAGAGAGAGAAGGAGAGATGGGTGCAGGCTGCACCGAGAAGGAAGACTTGGCAGGGCTGGGTGATCTGGCACTGGGAAGTGAGGGGCGGGAGGAGTAGGCATGACTCAAAGCTTCTGGTTTGGACAGATGGGAGGATGGTGGAACCATTTGCTGAGCTGAGCTGGGGACTTGGGAGGTTTGGGGGTGGTGAGGCGAGAGGGTTCAGGTTTGCACATGTAAAGGTGAGGAAACCGGTGGTGGACCATTGGAGGATGGACTATGAAGGAGAGAAAAACCATGGGGAGACAGGCAGAGCTGTGTTCAAATCTCTCTTCTCACACTTGGCTGCGTGGCTTGACCAATGACTTTCCTCTCCTTGCCTTAGTTTTTTCATCTATACCATGGGGTGATGTGGGTCCATCTGCCCTCAGAGTTGTGAGGCTGTGGTGGGCAGCCTCCAAGATAACCCCTAATGGTCCCTCCTCCTGGTATTCATGTCATGTGGTGCTGTCCCACACTGTTATAGGGTTGGTCTGTGAGATCAAGGGACCATGGGAATCTGACTTTCAAGGCTGGGTTATAAAAGACATTGTGACTTCTGTCTTTTTTTTTTTTTGCAGGGAAGGAGTTTCCCTGAGCTAAAATCTGATGCCAATCTTTCCTCTCTCTTTTTCTTTTTCTTCTCCCCAAAGCCCCAAGCATAGTTGCATATCCTAGTCGTAAGTCCTTCTAGTTCTTCCATGTGACCTGCCGCCACAGCATGACAAATGACAGACGGGTGGTGTGGTTCCACGGCCAGGAAATGAACCCGGTCCGCCAATGTGGAGAGCACGGAACTTTAACCACTAGGCCATCAGGGCTGGCTCTTGTGGCTTCTGTCTTGTTCCCTCTTAGATCACTCGCTCTGGGAGACGCCAGCTGCCATGTTGTCAGGAGAGGCTCATGTGAAGAGGAACTACTGCTTCCTGATAAAAACTACATGGAGAGCTTGGAAGCGAATTCTCCTGCCCCCGCCAAGCCTTCAGCTGACTGCAGCCCCAGCTGACATCCAGACCACAGGGTCTACTACCTACCTCATCTGCTTCCAAATCCTTGACCCACAGAAACTGTGAGATAAAAAATGTTTGCTGTTTTAAGTGCCTACGTCTTCGGATAATTTGTTATGTGGCAATAGAGAACTGGTCCAGTTCCATCTCTCTAAAAGCACTACCACTTAGCACAGTGGTAGGGGCCATGGAATGTGTAGCATCCGTAGGTCTGGAGTGCAGGAGAGAGGCCTGGGCTGGAGGTTTGGGCATCTTTTGGCTTAGAGACAATAATGGAATCCATGGAAGGGCTGAGTCAGTCCATGGAGATGGGTACACGGAGAGGAGAGGATGATGGCCTTGGCCAGAAACCTGGGATAAGGGGTGGGTAAAGCAAGAGGAGCAGCATCTCCATGAGTCTGAGAGGAGCAGCTGCAGAGAAAGGAGGAAAACTAGAACAGGGCATCCTGGAAGCCATGGGAAGAGGCTGTCTCTTGGACGGTGTAGTCAAGGGCATCCCCACAGGGAGCCCTGAGAGAGGAAATCGGAGGAGCTTCCTCTGGATTCAGCAACAAGGAGATTCCTGGTGGGCCCACAAGAGCTGTTTAAGGTGAAGAGGTGGGCCCTGGGGCCAGACTGAATGTTGTGGGTTGGGGTGTCAGTGTAAATGCTTTCTACTCCCAAGCCCCAAACCAAGATGGTTCACAGGAGAATCCTATAGAAAATCCAAACTACGGAAAATCCCAGTCTTATAGAAGCTGCTCTAGTGAATAGACTCAGCCCTTAATTTATTTTATGAGGCTGATGTAACTTTGATAGCAAAACCAGACAAGGAGAGAATAAGAGAGGAAAATAGTAGGCATAGCTCACATATCTCACACAGCAAAAGAGGAAAGGGAGGGGATTCTGGGGTAGGGGGTCTGGGATGGGGTGATATGGGGTCAAGAGAGAGGTCTGAGAGTTATTTATGTCAGATAGAGTCCTGGGGCTGTTAATCTCCTGATGGCAGGGGCCTGGAGAGGGAGGCGTGGGAGATCTGAGCCTAGAGAGGCTCAAGACTGGAGAAGGGCATGGGCCCAGAGCCCAGGAGGGTCACCTGGATAGGAAGCAGACCCCTCAGCCACCTTATGAGGAGACGACAGTGCAATATGGGTCAATTCAAAAGTGGGCAGAGGAGGGGGCCAGGGAGCCCCACTGAGGGCACATCATTTTCTTGACAAGTGGGAGGTGAAGTGGACAGTGCAGTGAGAGTTGGGAGGAGAGGGGTAGGTGGGTGGGCCCAGAACTCCAGGCTTAATTCCCACCTTCCTCTAAGAGTACCAATCAATTTTGTCAACTGTCGCTTTCTGCTTTGTCCTCCTGGCACCCTGCTAGGCTGCATTCCTTCCTGTGACATTGTAGCTGCTGTGACAAACAGCCCCCTCCAGGCCAGCCTGGCCATGGGCAGACAAGGCTCATCGAGGCCATCTCTTCACCAGGGGAGCCTGGACGCTTGGAGGCCAGCTGGAAAAGGGAGGCCCAGAGGGGGCAGGGGCAGCTGCAAACCAGAAGCTGGCCTTCCCCCACAGGCTGGCCACCTGAGCTCTGCAGGGGCTAGGGGCGGGGTGGTGGGGCACAGACACATGGGAACGACAGCCTCTAGTGTAAATGCTTTCCACCTCCAAGCCTGAAACCAAGATGGTTTTATAGAAGAATCCTATAGAAAATCCAAACTACAGAAAATCTCAGTCTTAAAGAAGCTGCTCTAGTGAATAGACTCAGCCCTTAATTTATTTTATGAGGATGATGTAACTTTGATAGCAAAACCAGACAAGGAGAGAATAAGAGAGGAAAATAGTAGGCATAGCTCATTCATAGATATGGACACAAAAACCTTAAATAAATATTAGCAAATGGGATCCAGTACTATTGAAAAAATAACGCATCATCAAGTTGTGTTTATTCAAGGAATGCACGGTAGGTTTAATATAATAAAATCCATGATTGTAATTCACAACATTTGGGTGAAAAAAAAATCTCACATTTTATAAAATTCAACATCCATTCATAATAAAGCAGAACAGTGCCTCCTTACCCTGATAAAGCACATCTATCAAAAATCTACAGCCAACACAATATTAATGGTGACATGTTAGAAGCAGTCAAGAACAAGATAGAAATGCCCACTATCATAATTGCGATTCAACATTGTGCTGTAGGTTTTAGTCAGCACAGTAAAACAAGGAAAAGGAAAGAAAATAAAGATTGGACAGGAAGATACCAAAAACCATTACTTGCAAACTCTATGATTATTAACACAGAAAATTCAAGAAAGTCTATAAACTTGTTAGAACTAAAAGAGAAATCAAGTTTGCTGAATACAAGATTATTATATAAAAACCAACCATGTTTCACTATCAATACAATACACATAAATTTGAAAATATAATTTATAATAGCAATAAAATCTTAGATATATAGGAATAGTTCTGAGGAAACCACTGACAAAGTTAATTCCTTTCAGTTTTTAGTTGAGGAAGCAGAAGCCTTGAGAGGGAGAATGACTCTTCCAAGAATACCAGTAAGCCAGGGGCAGTTGTGGATTTTCAGTGGCACCAAATCCTGGAGATCTGAGTGTTGGGTAATTTTGGTGTTGTCTTTCTTTTGTAAAAAATAAAACTAACTGTATTTTCCTGATTATAAATTCAATAGCCATGCATTCTGGAAAACATGGAAAATTCAGAAGAACGTTAAGAAGTAATGTCACTAACGTGCCCGTCCTACTACCTATAGAACTACGATCAATGATTTGGTGTATTTCCTTCAAAATTTTTGTCTATATTTACGTTTTTAAAAATAAAATTAGGATTATACTATGTATATCATTTTGTGCACCGCTTATTTTCACATAAATTTCCCTGTATCCTCACCTAGTCTTTTTTAATTTGATAATGTAGTACTCAATTATGGTGATGAAGCATGTCTTTTTACTTAACCTATCGATTTGAGTTTTCAGAGAAAAAGCAAATATCAGATATGACTGTGATGATCATGCCGATAAAAGTTAAACCCCAGAGGCAGCTCACGCACATGCAGACATGAAACGCGTGAGTTTCTAAGGCCAGTGGTTATCCTGGTGGAGAAGGGGACATGGCAGAACCAACATCATATACCTGGTCCCACCTGTAAGGAGACAGATCTGGTTAGCAGGAAGCGAATATGATTTGGCAGGAGTCTATATCTGGAGACCAATTAGCGCGGAGACTTTAGGTAATTCCCCACTCTCTGCAGCCTTGCTTGGCTTCCTTTACGGGGAAATAAGGAGAATACCGGTGAGAGCCTCACCTAGGACCAGCTCCTTCAGGCCTCAGAGCCTTTGCACCGGTCGTTTTCTCTGCTGAAGTCAGCTCTGCCCTTCTCTCCACCTGGCTGTCCACGCTGACCCTTCAGGCTAGGCTGCCATTCCCTACTCTGCCCACCATAATGGATAGGTGACCTTATTACAGGATTGCCTCCCCCAACGGAGGGTAAAGCCAGGAGGCGCTCTGGCCACAGTCCTGACGTCCAGGTCTTCCTAGGCCACGGCGTGTGAAGCAGAGGCCCCTTCCCCTTGTTCTCCATCTAATTCCGCTAATCATGCACCTCCCAACATTTATGATCAGAACTCGTTATTATTATAAACTACTGGCTGTTTCCTTGGGTCTTGTCTGTTTTCTCCTCTCATTAGGACCCCCCTCTATCTTGGTGGCCGCTGTATCCCTCAGGCCTGGCACATAGTCGGTGCCCCATACACGGTAGTGCGATGACACGGAGAAACAGCTCCGGGGATCCTAGGCCCGAGAACACAGCCAAGACTGCCGGGAGCTACGCTGATCCCAAACTGCGGGCGGAGGCGGGACGTAGGGGCGGGGTCTGGGCGGGGCCTCGTGGATTCGGGGGGCGGGGCCCCGGGGGCGGGACTGGGGCCTCGGGGCGTGGCTTCGGGGCTGCAGCGAAGCTGGCCTGACCGTGCGGTCCAGGCTGCGCCCGGCTGAGTCCCTGCGGCCGTCGGGCCCTCTGGCCTCTCGCCCGCGCCGCCGTTAGGGGGCGCCCGCGCTCGCGGCGCCGCGGCTCTGCTGGGAAGGCGCCGCCCGCGCCAGGCGGCAGGAGCGGCAACTCCGGGCGCGGGCTCAGTCGTCCCTTCTGCCGCCGCCGCCGCCGCCGCCGCCGCCGGGCGCGGGCTCGCTCGTCCTCGCGCTCGCGCTCTCGGGCCGCCGGCGTCTCCCGGCCGGGCCGCCGCAGCTGCCGCCGCGCAGTGAGTGGGGGCGGACCCGGGGGTCGGGAGGGCCGGGCACAAGGAGAAGCCCGCGCCGAGCGGCCCGTGGAGCGGGGCTCAAGGAGAATCTGGGCGGGGGTGCGCCAAGGGGACCGCGGGAGCCCGGGCGGCCCGCGCCGGGGCTGGCACGAGCCCGCGGCCGAGTGGCCGGGCTGGGCGGGGGTTCCGGGGCCGCCCGGCGGGGACGCGAGGTTCCGGCGGACCTGGGTTCGGGGCTCCGGGGCGCGCCCCCCGGGCCCAGAGCATCTCCGGTCCCACGCCGGGGCCGGGTCGGGGGACTGAGCCTGCGGGGCAGCAGCGAAGCACGACCCGGACGGGGACACCTCGAGGTTTGCTCGAAAAGGATTGTTTTTAGGGGTGGCGCGTATTGGCCACCGTTTGCTCTCATTTAATGCCTACGGGTTTTTTTTTTTTGCCCCAAAGAGACACTCTGACTGCACCTGAGTTCTTTATGCCCAGATTTGTGTGTGTCGTGGTGTTTTTAATGCTTGATGTCAGAGGTGATAAATGGCCGCAGTAATGGGGAGCCCCTGAAGCACCTGCTGGTCTGACTGTGGGGGAGGCTGGCTGGAGGTGGGACGGGAGAAATGAATCAGGGATCCTGTTTGGGTATTCTGCTGAAGTTATCATGTTTCTGTTCAACTATACCAGTTCTAGAACAAGTTGATAAATCCAATTCTAGGACTTTGTGATAGAAGAGGTTTGAGTGGCAAAGAGACGCGAGATGACCTGGTTTGGTTAAGAATGTCTGGGGTAACCGAAGTCTCTCTTACCGTTTCCCCTTGGCATGTTCATTTCCTTGCTGTCACAAATGCC